AGAATGAAAGAAATAATTTCCCCCAGCAGTCAGGTCTTTCTGCACATTATCTCATTTACAAACATCTTTCTCTTGAAGATGTCCCATTAGAACATTCTGAGGCTTCTATCTAGCTAACTTGTCTTCTTGCTTTCTAAGAATACACCAAAGAAGAATACATCAAAGAAGCACATGGGAATAGTTATAACAGATTAATTTGCATCCACCATTAAAAAACTAAATGCAGTATATTTAAAGGACCATGTACAAACAGAGGCAATATGAGACAGAGAAGTGCCCCAGGCATCAAAGCAACCGGAAATTTGTCCTACTCTGCTAAAGAAACCCACTACTGAGAGATAGATTATCCTATCCATCTGGATGGATTATCCCATATAGCCAATGTTGCTATTATGTGAATCCAGCTCAGTGTAATATTCCTAAATACAGAGAAGTTTGCCTTGGGATCACCAACTCCTTGTTCAGGGACTTGTATATAAAGCTCTAACACAGCCCATTAAATCACGTGGTTCAGAGGCATTTCACAATTCTGACTTCTAGAACAAGCATAGATAATTTAAAAGGCTGACAGACCCCATTATTTTTACACTCAAGTGCATCACATTGAATTAACAGACAAAGGCCACATGATGTGTGACATTTTTTTCCACTGAGAATCATTTATGTGGTGCCACTTTTGCTACCATATTCTTCTTGTCCATGGGCTAGACTCCAATAGACAGTCACTAAGCAGTCATTCAATCAGCTCTCAGTATTTTATTTGTTTTTCTCTAACTGGGAAAGCTATTTTGAGAGATTCTCACTGATGGTAATCTGATATGGTGGGAAAGAAGCTTAAATGTAAATAAGATATTAGTAGAAAGAGAGAAAATATATATAACTGATACTACTTGAGTCTAGGGTTGTCCAATGTATTGAGAAAAAAAAATATGACCTTGAATTTTTTTTTTGTGGCCACACAGGTCAGACACTGCTGTTTAATGACTAAAACCCATCACACATATCTCAAGACAAGAGTCTAGGATACACACACATGATCACACATGATTCCCCATAAGGGTGGACATTTTCAGTGTTCAAACCTACAGACACTGAAGGAGCTAGAAAGTTCCATTTAGTGGTTGGTCACTAAAAGCCCATTGTCCTTGACTGACAGCTCTTTGGAAGAACTAAAGCCTTAGAAGAGAAGGCTGCCCTCACTGTAGACCCTCCCATCCATACCTGAGCCAGAGAAGGATACACCAAATGCATTTGGGGCAAGTGGCAAGGAACAAAGAAGTATAATCTGGTCCTATCTAAGTAAACTCCCTCCACAAACACCCTGGCTTTCCCTAAGGCCCTGTCTCTAGAGGGGACTAGCTCCCCCAGGCTTGGCCATTCCTGAAACCCTCATGGCAGCCATTCTAAAACAGAGAAGGCTGAACCTTCCTCCAGACCAGCTGGGCCAGCCTTTCTGAGATGGGTCTGTGAAGTCCATATCTCAGCCCTGGACTGGACAATGGTTAGGTTCAGGAATCCTGAACAATTTCCTTTGCCTCTTCTCATCCAAGAAGAGGGAGGGAGTGAGGTTACTGCTATTGTTGAGCTGAAAGTTTTTTGTTTTTTTTTTTAAGCAATCCTGCAATGGGCTACTTCATCCAGGAATCTACAAAGCTAAGAAAACACATACACACACAAGAACATACATGTACACATATGCGCACGCACATACACACACACACACACACACACACACACACACACACAGGCCCTCAGAGCTCAAGGATCCACAAGCCCAGCAGGTTGTAGGAGCCAGGACCTGAAGCCCATCAGCATCTGGAAGGGATACTGGGTTCCCAAGGACAGCCATGGCAGCTCTTGCCCATAGACATGAGGAGGTGTAAGCTGCTAGTCACCGGCGGCCGTGCTGCTTCCCAGAAGACCTACAGGGCCATGGAGGCACAGGGAAATTGGGCCAGGGTGTAGGATACAGAGGGGATAGGTGCCAGCACCTTCCCAGGTAGACTACAGTGGGCACCATGTGGTCCAGGAAGAAGATGAGGAAGTACATCCAGGCAATAAAAGGATCAGGCCCCAGGAAAGTGTAGATGAGGCCCAGAAAGACATAGATGGTTTCCATGTTAATCTGGTAGGCTCTGAGACAATGCTCCATGTCAGCGTCATTCCAGCAATACTGGAGGCCCATGTCTCAGGGCATCTTCAGGGCTGGCAAAAGCCTTCTTCTGCAGCCTCACTGGCCTGTGATAACTACCACCTTGTCCATCTTGACGACCAGCAGTGTGATGCAGAGAAGGAAGGCTGGGAGCGACTGTCCATTCATGGTTGCCAAGCTGGGGGAGGCATCATGGCCAGCTGGCGGGAGCTCCAACTTGGTACAGCATGACTGTAGGTATGAACATCCCCAATATCACCTTGATTTTAAGGTCAGAAAAATAATTTTTGATTTTACCTTCATATTTTCATAAATGGTATTTTTGACCCTAATGAATATGGTCATAAAACACAACTACCCTTTGAGAAATAAAGGAAAATATTCCTACCTGATCTCTCCCTACTTTCTAATTATTTGATTTGATGTTTTATAAATTCTCAATTTCATATATGGAAAAAATCACACTTACAATTTCTACTATCAGTAATGTTATAATTAGTATAATTGTATATACATTGTGGTTTTCATTACTAAAATAATGATTGAAAAGTGACAGCTTCGATTAAGTAATTCATAAGCATGAGATATGACTGCAGAACAATGAAACTATTAGGGACAAACATACTAGAACCTGCATATTCAAATATTTGCTGCCAACACAGAATTCTTTTAGATGGAGTCAAAAAGCAAATGCTATTGGCATTTGGAAATTAAAGAGAGAATTTCAATTTATAAATGAGTAAAAATTGTCCTCATTTCATCCTTAAATGGTCTTTCCTTCCTTCAATATATTCTTCTTTCCATCTTTTTTTTGACCCAAAACAGTATGTCCAGAAATTGACCATTTGATTAATTTACCATACATGACTCCAGATAAACCCGGAAATCTACCTTTAAATGTTGAAAATTTGCCATCAGTGAAAAGTCACCTACCACATGACTCACCTGTAATGAAACACCTTTACCTACAGAACTCAAAATAGAGAAGGGTATTATCCTTTAAACACTGTACATTAACTAGTGTCTAATACAAGTATTAATTCATTTCATGAGAGGACATTTCTGTGGCTACGTAGAAAAGGTATATCCCAAATATGGTCTGTCTACATTATAACAAAAGAATTTAGTTTTGAAAATACCATCCAACTTTTTAGATTAATTAGCCCTCTATGTCTGTTACAAAGCTTTCACCTACAGATCCTATCTCCAGCTTGAAAACTGTTCTCACAAACCCCTAGAGCCCCACTTACTTATCCAGCTACCTTATACCTAATGACAAAGAAAATTAAATCCTAGATTTATCAATTACCTTATTTCAAAACACTCTATTCAGAAAAAAGAATAACATCCCACTATTATGTTGATATATTTGAAATAGCAAGTTGAAATTTTCTGATGGTGTTGTGGGATCTTTGAGAGGTGGACTTTTTCCAAGACACCGCTCTAGGCTCTATGTCTTACTGATTAACTCTGTCATTTAGTGCAGGCTGCAGGCTTCTCCCTGTCAGCTCAGGTTTGTGTGCAGATAAGTCATGTTCTTAAAGTGCACTGAAAACCACCCTAACAGATGTCCATAAAACTTAAGATATGGATGTCATTTTTAAAGCATCTCAGAGATGAAATCGTTTGCTGAGGCAGTCTTGAGGGCCTAGTAAGCAAACAAAAATGTCTTACGACTGTCATAGGCTGCCTGGGATACACAGAATTGACTTCCAAATTCTTTCAAACCTGTGAGTGGAGATATCCCTATGTAAAGAATTGACTTCACAAGAGGACAGAAACCACTTGACATAGTCATTCAAAAAGGGACACCTAAGAAGGCCACCAGTTGACCAACATTACCCTTATGGACTTAAGACACAATGGTGTCTTTAGCAAAAACTGCAGAGGATGATAGGAAAGGAGCTGGGATATGAAGGTGCCTCAGGTGAGCCTCACATCCTCAAAGTCTTATGGGGAACTTCCTTGACAATAGACACAACTCTGTAGGTATGGATGTGAGCATCCTTTTCTCTCCAAATAACATTCTCTATTAATTTGAAGCAAGATTACTGATATAGATTACCTGATAACTCCTGTCTTATCATATCTAAGGTCTAATAAATTTGATATGTTAGGAAAATTTGGTGAATCACATTATACCCCAATTGGTACTTATTGACTTGTTGACATTCACTATCATTTTAGAATTCAAATATTATGTCCTGAAATGTTATAGTTACTTGGAGACTATGTTTTATCTCCACATGCCTGGTGTAAGAAACTCTGGTCTCCAACTGCTGTACCACTGATGGCATCCCATCCTGTCACAGCTTTTAGTCTAGTATCTAGACCCTTCTCTTTCTTCCCAGCTTTGAATTTGTATTAACATATTTAATCAACTACTAGTCCTCCCTGTGGAGCATCAACCATATTTCCAAATGTTTCCTCATCCTGTTTTTGAGGAATCATTTCCAACTGGCTTCCAAAACTTCATATCCTGAATCAGATTTCAGATTACATCCAATTCCCTCTTTAACCTGCCTAAATTGCCTTTCTTCCCTCTTACGAAAACTTAATGAGGCCAGGCACAGTGGTGCATGCCTGTAATCCCAGCAGTTTTGTAGGCTGAGGCAGGAAGATTGCAAGTTCAAAGCCAGCCTCAGCAACAGTGAGATACGAAGCAACTCAGTGAGATCCTGTCTCTAAATAAAAATACAAAATAGAGCTAGGGGTGTGACTCAGTAGTCAAGTGCCCTGAGTTCAATCCCTAGTATCAGAAAAAAAAACATCAAAACTTAATGATCCCTATTTATTTCTTCCATAAAGCATTCCATGGTTCTTCTAGCCCAATGTTTTTCAGACTTACTTTGCATCACTCTGGTATGTTGCTGAAATGCAGTTTCTGATTCAGGAGATCTGGATCGGACCTGAAATCAACATGATACCCACGTTATTGGTCCTTAGATGCACTTTGAGTAACAAGATTCTAGCCTACCATAGTTTCTACTTCCTCTAAATCATCTAGGACAGGCACTATGCATGATTTATTCATGTTTATATCTTCAGTGATCCACAGAGTGCTTGACACATCAAAACACTCAACAAATGTTTGCTGGATAAATGATTAAATTAATAAATGTGTCACATTCACCCTGGCACTTAGAAAATTCTATTTAAAATAGAATATTTTTATATGCACTTTTTTCTTTAACTGAAATCTAGTTTAGGGCAGGTATCAAATTCTATATTTGTCTCTTTAAAGAGTTATATGTGTCCACTGTGTCCTCAGAAAACAGGCACTTGGTATAAATTCTGATTGAACAGTTACATAAAAGGGTTGATTGAATAAGTCACTGGAAGAGGAAGGGTATCATGTTTAGCTTACACATCAGGTACTAGAAGATAAGAGTCATTAACAAGCTGGCATACTTGTAGATAGAAAGCCTCAAGTCCTGCAAAGGCACACAGAGGGCAGAAATATTAAAATCAGTAACCAGGAAAATAGGCCTTTTGTAGACACAGGCGCACTCTAATGAGAAAAGTGCTTCAGTCTGTTGAAATGCCAAGCCAGTGGTTGATATGCTTGGGAATAAAACCAAGCATTATTACAGGGGTAGGCAGATGGCACATTTTTTTTTTCTTAATTCAAAGCTTCACTTTTGTAAATAACAATGGAAATTGAACAACTGGCACATACCAAGTTTTGCAGACTCTATTAAGAGTTTTCAAAAATGAATTTCCTCAAGAATTTCTGCCTTTGGAGTATTTAAATATATACTGATTTGCAGTATTATTTACTCAATATTTCACACCTGCATTATCTTCTCAACCAGACTATAGCCAGAGATAGGGACTTTGTCTATATGAGATGGTGGGCACATGGCGATGTTTTTTAAATAAACATAATATTTAGAAGAACCTGGCAATTACAGACATGGATCTGCTATCAAGTAGAAAAAGATGGCCAGTAAAAAGGTGAGGAGTATAATGAGTGGATTCCCAGGCTAAAGAGGGAAACTCCACATATAGTGGATATGTATTTGTATTTCATTCTCTCTTTCTCTTTCTCTTGCTATCTCTTTCTTTCTCATAACCATAACAGATAAACTAGCCTTGAATTCTGCCAATGACTGGATCTTTGAAAATATCACGTCATGCAAATGGATGAAAACCATGGTGCCCCTGAAGCTTTCAGAATCACTTCATCAAACATTGACTTTGCTATCAGATTACAAGTAAGCCAGATGCAAATAATTTATCAGTAGGGGAAATAAGCTATTATCTTCTGACTACATTGTATTTGTCAGAGAAGTAACGTATTGATTCTCAGAAAGACAGGCATATATATCTATCTCTATCTCTATCTATCTATCTATCTATCTATATATCTATCTATACACACACACACACACACACACACACACACACACACACACACATACATACATAACACATATATGGGCTCATACCTGAGTGGTTCAAAGTGAACCTATGATACATCTGGTTCATGTTTCAATCTATTAGCTATTATATATTTACTTAGACAATTATACTTTGATTCTGTTCAAAAGAATGATTTTTGCAAGAACATAGGAGCTTCTTATGCACAAAGTATTTAAAATAGAACAAAATTAGCAATCTGTAACTGAAAATTATACATAACATTTAGCTTCATTTAAAATTAGAGCACTAGAAGCAGCAGATTTCCATGGCATTTTCATTATGCAGAGAGGTAAACAACAAATAAATAAGCCATACATGAATATGAAATTAACAGCGCGATAATTGCTTTACTCCTACAGTGTGTGTAATATTAAATCCTCAAATAAACACTTACTTAACCTCATTCTCACATATGCCTATTGCTTTTATCAAAAGCAGTGTACCTGGAACACTCAAGCTAAGACAACTTCCAAAAGGAGGCACAAAGTCTAAGGAAATCACTGCCATTTCCTGGAAATTCAGAGTGACTTCTTTACAAGTTTTAGTATTAGCAGTATGTCTTGAGAGCCAGGGGACACGAGAGGAAATCTGGAAACCAAGAAAACATGCATTTCACATGGGATCGTTTTGCACATTACATCATGTTTAACTCATTCTCGAAGAGCCTCCTCATCTAGCCCCTCAGCACAGCCATTCCAGGGGACTGCTACCTTCCTGCACAATCTCTGCTGACTTGTTTACCAGGTTTATGCAGGAAACAAATTCCTGATGAATTGTTCCTTTTCTGCAGAAGGCAGATATTCTTTTTGTATCTTTCTTATGGCTCCAAACAATGGCTACCTTCTGTTTTAGGCTCTGGGGCCCAAGTTTGCCCTGAATTTAACCCCAAGTAATGGTTTCTCTATCTTACTCACAGTCTGAAACTGACTCATTTATGAAGAGGCTGCCAGTATGACTGGAGTTTTCCAGTAGGTAAGGGTTCAAAGGTCAGTAATAATGTCATCTCTATCTTTAGGAGTACACCAGTGGTAGAATTCAGTTATTTGGAGATAACCTGTCAAAACTGTATCATCATTTCCTGCTATATTCTCAACGGCAAGGTTTAGAAGGGATGTACAGTTTGTGTATGGGAGAAAACATCTTTCCTTGGAGGAGACATCAACCACTTCATCAGAAGTCAGTGACCACAGAATGGAATCATTCAATTAAAAAATTTTAAAATAGAAATAAAATAATTATGAGGTCCAAAGGAAGGAAAACTTCATCATCCCAAGTAAGCACCTTTAAAATTATCAAGTCTTATTGTCTTTCTGATGAAATTGCTGTGTCTTTTTTGATCTCAACTTAAATTTGACTCAATGGGTAAATTTAAGCCTGAGGCTTTTATGCCATTATCAGAGGCTCTGTCAGTGAGTGCTTTAACCTAATTACATTTGATGCAGCAAATCAACAAAACCACTGCTGGTTATGACCTCTGCCAAGAGCACTAGTGAGCTAGACAAATGGAGCTTAAGATGTTATTAGTTGTTCTGTTGCAAAGTTCCAGATACAGCCCGACAGGAGGCTGCTGCCTGACTTGGGCGTGCACCCTCCAGATGGCATTCTGCATTGGCTTGTGGCAAAGCTCACAGGGATACTGGCACATTTTCTCCGTCAAAATGAAAGTTTTCCAATTACAAGGAGATAATGTGAGGAGATGCAAACTTAATCTCTTGAACAAAAGGTTGCAAGCTGTGTAATAGCCATTTCAGGGGAGAGATTTCACTATAGTTCAATTGATTTAAACATTGCAGATCACAAAATGGGCTATCTTTCCTAATAAAACCAAGAAATCAGTTGCAGTTGATTCTATTTTCTGGGACAGTGTTGCAATGGGATGCTTCTTTTAACTTGGTTTTCTTCCACTGAACTGAAGTCAGTGATTATTTTTTCCTAATGTGTGAACAGATACAAAGAAGCTATTTTCCTTTTAGTTAAAATAGAAAATGCCTTAAATGAAGACTTCGGGTGTAGTATTTGGATGTCAGAGCACTGAGTTTCATTAGGACATGTGAAATGGTAAGAAAGCCCTTTTACCATCAAAACTTGTAACACAATGTCACTAAACTGCTAGTACTCTTCATTTTCTAACTCAGGCAATCCTAGTACAAATGAGGTGGACAGCTATCAGTAGCTATGGAAATGAGGTGACTTGCCTCAACACTTCTCCCAAAATAACTGACTCATCAGAGCAAGACAGCAGGTATTTCATTGTAAGATTACTTCTCAGGAAGCTATGCATTTGCCACTTGACATGAACATGTGACAAATCAGGAAAGCCACTGTATATCCATTTCCAAAAATCCAACAGGGACACTGAGTAAGATGAGAATGTGTGTGTGCCAGCTCTGAGCAGAATGTTTTACAGAGTAACTATAACCATAGGCCTTACTAAAATGCATGAAATAGCATTTTAGCAGAGTTTAAATGCGGAAATGATCTACAGTTCTAATATAAGCAAAGATCTTTCAATATTAGTGCTAAGTGCCTTCCTTTTGTGATTTAAGGAAAATTAACTGATCCAAAATTTCTAGGCACAGATTCAGAATTTTAAGAGACACAATGTATAGTTCCAACAGTTAATTACGGTAATTCACATACAGAAAAAATAATAATTCTACATCAAATTCCAAAATATTTTAAAAATGTATTAAAGCTGTTTAGATGAAGATCAATGTTGCAGATTTGTGCAAAACACTTAATTGCAGTTGATGGAGTAAAAACCAGAGATAACAGATGCCTTTTGTCGTTTCTATAGGAAGTAGCTAGGAAACTGTCCTTTCTTTACTGAAAAATTCAGTCAGCTAAGTAAAGCAGGATTATAAATTCTAAGTAGTCACAACTGCAACATTGTAAGATCTGTAAATCCGTCAGAAATATAAGCAAGCCCTCCAAATCACTCAGAAAACATAACAGATTCCTACTGAAGACTTACCATTTTCAAGCAATGAACATTTTTAAAAAGTCTCAACATCAACATAAAGTGGTCTATAACAGCTGCTGTAAAGCTCAACATCAATTTTATGTTGGCTCAACTACTAAACAGCAATCACAATGACATCCCTTAGGAGGCATTTAAGGGCCCAAGCGAATAGCAATTTAAAAACTGAGCAGGAAATCAAAACTAATTCCTCCTGTTTACGAAAACACTTCTCCCTGTGTTCTTGTACCACCACCTAGTGGTTATATAGCTCTCAATCTGACCATCAGTAGAAACCAGATAGAGAAGAGGGAAGGAAGAGAGGGAGGAAGAGGGAAGAACAGAAGGAAGAGAGAGAGAGAGAGAGAGAGAGAGAGAGAGAGAGAGAGAGAGAGGAGAAAGTAAACCAAAACAAAAACACAAACAATTTCCAGGTCTTAAGACCTATGCAATAAAACTCAATACTATGTTATTGATTTTGAAACTAAAGATTATTTAAAGTCATTTTGCTTTGTGCATTTACAAGGATACGGAGATTCTATAGTTGATACAAAAATACCTGTTTTAAAATTTGTGGTTGAATTTCTAGGGATTTATTCTACTCTGTAGAACCTATATATATATTGCTAGTGTGTGAACTGATATGAGTACAAGATTCTACCATTATTTGAAATAGCTTCAATGTTATCAGTTGAGTTGCTTTCGTAAGTTAGGGGACATCCATAAAATAAAGAATGAAGTCCATCTTCATGTCTTGTAATGGAACAATGCCTAAAATATTTAGTTAATATTGCTGGTGTAGGGGCGGGATAAAGAACAATGTGTTTTGTTCTTTATCACTTGTATTAAAATATCTTTCTTTTATATGCGTACAGTATTTCTCTGGAAGAGACAAGAAGCTGGAAACATTGCCTCCACTGAGGAGAACAGGATGATTGGAAGCCAGGTGGGAAGGGCATTTTGTAGTTTAAGTGAATGTATTACCTCCTCAAAGCCAAATAAATTAAATCTAAAAGTAGCACCTGACTCAATAAACCATTACCGGTGGCTTTTTCAAATCCACAAAACCTCCCCTGATGTTTTCCATTTGAAGAAAAACTTGTCATATTTAATGTGAATGTGAATTTATTGTAAATGTGACAGACATTGAAGCTTTGCTTTTTTGCTATGAAGAGACATATAATAGTCCAAAGAGAGAAAGAGAAAGTGGTTTGTAAAAGGCATGAAGGTAAAGTGAAGAAATTCTAAAATCACTTACACTATCACATGCTCAGCAGAACTGGGTGGGGAAAGACCCTTGTCAGGAAAGACATAGTGTCTTATGCCCTCCATGCTCTGGGCTGAACTGCTCAGAACTGCAAGGAAAGGACACTGGAAACAGCACTAGTTGCTAAGATAATCAAGTACCTTAAAGTGGAAAAGTCGAGACTATTAGAAAATGAAAAGAAGTAGGAAGGTAGAAAGGGTGTCTTCAATGCAAGAGGAATGAGATCAAGACCATCCAGATCCAGATTCAGCCTTCACCTGGGACCCTCAGCCACCGTTTCCCAAAGGCTACTGAACCCATTGCCACAGAAACACGGATCAGACTGGCAGCACAATAAGGACCACTGCAGATTTTGGTGTTAAAATGATGGTTTTCACTTAGTAACATAGACCATTATTTTTGTACTCCTAATTTTAGCCCATCTTTATTTATTATTAATCTGGGAGCCTCACAAAAATGAGTGTCTCTGGAAAGTTCTAGAGAAGTCCCTGAGCCTTCAGGCAAGGCTGGAGAGTAAGTGTGTTAAGGAGAAGTCCCAACAGGTTGGGTTCCGAGGATCTGGGAAAATCAGTGTCATGGGACTGGAGAGGGCTCATGGGAACACCAAAGGGAGAAAGCCCCCGCGTGGGAGGCACATCAGGCACTTCTCAGCTCCCTAATGAAAGAGAATGCATGGGAAGGCCTTGGTTTTATCCCGTTACCTTGTACAAACTTTCTGCCACTGATGTGGATATCCTTCTTTTGCTGATATTCACACTCATACTATTCCCTATATTTTAAAGGTCAGCATAAACCACCTGCTTTCTCAGATGCTAAATTCTACTAAAATATTCTCAGGTAAGTAAATATGTAAAATATTTCCTTACAAACTACAAAAAGAAAGTTGTTGGGAACTTGGCATGAAATCAATAGCATATCCTATAAAAGTTCAAAGATATCCTTAATTAGCATGTGCTATGAACTTAATATTGAAAAATAAATTGTGCAAGGCAGGTTTTCACTGTGTTGCCAAGGCTGGCCTTAAACTCCTGGGCTCAAGTGATCCTCCTGACTCAGTCTCTCAAGTACTAGTTGGGACTACAAGTGTGTAGCATCATACCCAGCTCAATATTTGAAATATTAAAAAACATTATCGAACACTTTTAAAAGAATTTTTAAAAACTTAAAAATTATACTGTAATATCCACAACCAGGACATTGACATACAGACAGGATACAGAAGGTTTTCATCATCATAAGTGTCACTCAAGTTGATAGCCACATCTAATTCTCTCTCTTCCCTCCTGTTACCTAACCACTAATCTGCTCTCTATTACTATAATTTTCTCATTTCAGGAGTTTTATATAAA